ATATATATAGGTACTGGGAGTTGAACTCAGAGCCTTCTACTGAGCTTCATCTTCACCCCTTTTCATATTAAAAAAAAAATTTTTTTTCGGTATCGGGAATCGAACTCAGGACCTTGCACTTGCCAGGCAGGCACGGTGCCACTGAGCTACATCCCCTGCCCTAAAACATTTTTGAGACAAGGTCTCGATAAATAACCCAGACTGAATTCTAATTTGTGATCCTCCTGCCTCAGCCTTGGAGTGCTGGGATTACAGGAGTGTGCCACCAACCCCAGTCTTTGGAATTTTTAAAAATTATTTTTAATATTTTATTTTTTTGTTAACAGGGATCGAACTCAGGACCTTGCGCTTCCAGGCAGGCGCGGCAAAATTTATATTTTTTGAGGCAGGATCTCACTATGCAGATCATGCTTCCTTGAACTATATAGCCCAGGTTGGCCTCCAACTCAAGGCAATCTCCCTTCTTCAGCCTCCTGAGTGCTAGCTGGGATTACGGGCTTGAACCACCTGGGGGAGGGGTCTTGTTTTGCCTCTTTGCACTGCACTTTGTACATTTGTTAGATATTGCAGACGTTAGTTTTTAAACTATATGCCCTCACTGGCTTCTCAAAGGCAGGGACCTGGCATAGTTTCTGGTATATAAAGTGTTTGCGTACATGTTTTTCAAAAATTTTTATTTTTATTAGTACATGTTTGTTGTACCTAATGATCCACATTCCTCTGGGGAGTTGGTACAGGTACTTCACCCACCTTAATTCTTTTTTCATCCCCCCTTCATCTCTTGGCCCCTTCCTACTTGCAAAAGATGTATTTCCCTGTTTGTTGAATGTTTATATAGTTAGAATGATCAACAGGTTGGCAACATTTAGTTTTCATTCTCCCCCTCTGAGAATGCCCTAGGATTCAGTAAAAACTCCCAGCAGGGAATTTACAAAGTTTATTGTTGCTAATTCAACCAAATCTCTAGGTTTTTTTTTTTTAAATTAGTAATCAAATACAAAATTTGGGCTCTGGGAACACAATGGTAGGAAACACTGACCTTTCCCAAATTTTCCTAAAATGTCTCCTTTGAGACAGTGTAGAAAAGGAGATTTTGTAAAAGAAGGAAGTGGGTCTTAGCTTTGTTTGGTTTACAAATTACTGAGTAAATGGCTGATGGGTGGGGGTTGAGGGAGGCTAATCCTTGGAGTGGTGCTGGGTGGGGGGCTGTTTCTTGGCCAGCCATCTTAGAAAATACTCTTGGTAGGAAGGTAAAAGGATTTCCAGCTGTTACTAGCGAGAAAGGCCTCAAAATTCAGGCCCTACTCAGTATTAGGTCTGTAATGTCCTTGACATAAAAGAGAATTTGTTGCTCCACCGAATCAAAAACTTTTCTTACTATCTAAGCTCTTTTTCTTCTCCTTTTCTACTTTAACTTCGAGACATTCCCTTCTGGCACAGGCATAATAGCAGGATTATGTTTTCCTCTATTTCGGGTTACTCCCGCCGCCTTGCAACCCCTCCTTATTCCTTTATCTCTTTCAAAGTTTCCATTCTCCTGTTCCCTTACTTTTTACTCCCTCCTTCCCTCTCTCCTCCTCTTTTTTCCCAGCTAGCTCACCCCGCCCCTCGCCGTCATCTCCTCCCCTCTCCCTCAGGCTCCTTCGAGCTCCTTCTCCCACCACCCCCAACCCAGGCCTCCCGCCCGCCTCAAATCCAGAAAGCTCCAATCAGGCGCTCCGACGGTGTCTCCAAG